AGAAAGGGGGGGGGGGGGAGATGATATTTGCAAATGAAGCAACTGACAAAGGATTAATCTCCAAAATTTACAAGCAGCTCATGCAGCTCAATATTTAAAAAAACAAACAACCCAATCCAAAAATGGGCAGAAGACCTAAATAGACATTTCTCCAAAGAGGATATACAGATTGCCAACAAACACATGAAAGGATGCTCAACATCACTAATCATTAGAGAAATGCAAATCAAAACTACAATGAGGTATAACCTCACACCAGTCAGAATGACCATCATCAAAAAATCTACAAACAACAAATGCTGGAGAGGGTGTGGAGAAAAGGGAACCCTCTTGCACTGTTGGTGGGAATGTAAATTGATACAGTCACTATGGAGAACAGTATGGACATTCCTTAAAAAACTAAAAATAGAACTACCATATGACCCAGCAATCCCACTCCTGGGCATATACCCAGAGAAAACCATAATTCAAAAAGACACATGCACCCCAATGTTCACTGCAGCACTATTTGCAATAACCAGGACATGGAGGCAACCTAAGCATCCATCGACAGGTGAATGGATAAAGAAGATGTAGCACATATATACAATGGAATATTAGTCATAAAAAGAAACGAAATTGAGTTATTTGTAGTGAGGTGGATGGACCTAGCAACTGTCATACAGAGTAAAGTAAGTCAGAAAGAGAAAAATAAATACCATATGCCAACAGATATATATGGAATCTAAAAAAAAAAAAAAAAAAAAAAGGTTCTGAAGAACCTAGGTGCAGGCAGGAATAAAGACAGAGACGTAGAGAATGGACTTGAGGACATGGTGAGGGGGAAGGGTAAGCTGGGACGAAGTGAGAGAGTGGCATGGACTTATATATACTACCAAACGTAAAATAGATAGCTAGTGGGAAGCAGCCGCATAGCACAGGGAGATCAGCTAGGTGCTTTGTGACCACCTAGAGGGGTGGGATAGGGAGGGTGGGAGGGAGACGCAAGAGGGAGGAGATATGGGGATACATGTAAAGCAATTATACTCCAATAAAGATGTTAAAAAAAATTTCCTACTGGGAATTCTACATAAGGATATTAAGGGAAATTTCAAGGATAATTAAGGTAAGTTTGATCATTTAAAGAAAACAAAACAAAAGAAAATATAGGGACACAACAGAAGATATTTGCCCATTGGCCAACCAATACTTCTTTGGTTCATTTGCTGTAACATCAAGGGGCAGTACAGTTTAGCAGTGGTCCCCAACCTTTTTGGCGACAGCGACCAAGTTCGTGGAAGACAATTTTTCCACGGATGGGGTGGGGGTGGGGGATGGTTCCTGGATGATTCAAGCGCATTACATTTATGGTACACTTTATTTCTATTATTATTACATTGTGATATATAATGAAATAATTATACAACTCACCATAATGCTGATAGGAGGAGGAGCTCAGGTGGTAATGTGAACTATGGGGGGCAGCTGTAAATACAGATGAAGCTTCGCTCGCCCACCGGCCGCTCACCTCCTGCTGTGCGGCCAGGTTCCTAACAGGCCAGGGACCGGTACCTCAGAGGCTGGGGACCCCTGCAGTTTAGTGGGTCAGTGACTGGCCACTGGAGCCAGAATGCGTGGTTGTGTGTGAATCCTAGCTCTAACACTTCCTAGTTGTATGACCTGGAGCAAGGATATTCAGCTACCCCATGCCTCAGTTTCCCTATCTATAAAATGGGAATGATGACAGTAGTATTAACTTTGTTGAGTTTAGAGAAGTGAGTTAATACATACAAAGCACTTTGAACTATGCCTGGAACATTGTAAATGCTCAAGAAATGTCAGTTATTATTCTTCATCCAAACTTCTGGGTAAAACTTCAGACCAATTCTTTCAGTTTTAGAGTAATTTTGACACTTTCTCAGTTCTTTAAAAACATCTGTTTGATACGGCTTCTATTCTTATTTTTAATTTGCTTTGCTCTTCAACTGCTTGAAGGCTGGTTTGGCAACATATCCAGTTATCATGAAGCCTTTTTTCTGGTATAAATTTGAAAATATACATCAGTTCCTGTAGTTTCAAGTTGAAGCAGAAATTTCAATATCAAATTTGAACATGAAGATCTTTCCCTCCTTCCAAAAGGAAGATAAGGATATATTCTTAAGAAGATTATCTGTACAAACACATATGCATTTATAATCTGTGACCTGGGAAGCAAATGCCAGGTACATATATAAACATATATGAGGGAATTCAAGATCTTACATAGTTGTCCTACATAAAACAGTGACTAAAGTCCAAAGGAATAGTCCTTATCGCTCTCCTGAGAGATGTGGAGTTGACTTTTTATTTCCCTAAAATTGTACTTTGAAACTACCATTTAACACAAAAAAAGTTGTATAACAGTCAGGCTAGAGGAGTCATTCCCAATTCCAGCCCCATTAATTTCACCAAAAATTCTGCTGCTTTCAGTAACATATCATCTCTTTTAAAATAGTTATAGCTTATTTTCCTATATCTGCGAGCCAAGAAAAGCCTTTTTTTCCTGAGCTTTCATCATCTGGAATAAGTGAATCATGTTACTGGCCCCCTTTCCCTTTTTTCTTTGGCCACTAACAAGTTGAGGATTGACTTTGTCACTTTAGTTTTGTAATTGTATAGGACATCACAACACACTCTCAGGTTCATCTAATCGTGGCTATTGGTTCATTTTTTTTAGTCTTCTATATCCCCAGTGCCATGAATTTAGCTATGTATATTATTCATCTTACTGTTTTCATGTCCTTGGAAGCCATCTCACATAATTTTGGCATTAGGAGAGGAATAAATGCACATATATGTGAATATATATATATATATAAAATTTGCATGAGATATAAATTAATGTAGTGTTTAAATGAACTATTTTTTACACTAACTACAAACACTAGCATAAAAACAACTGAGAACCACAATGAGATACCACTTTGCATCCACTAGCATGCCTATTATAACCAACCAAACATAGAAACTAACAAAAAACCAAAATAAGTGTTGGCAAGAATGTAGAAAAATTGTAACCCTTGTGCATTGCTGGTGGGAATGTAAAATGGTGCAGCTGCTATGGAAAACTGTATTGTAGTTCCTCAAAAAGGTAACAATTATCATACGATCCACCAATTCCACTACTGGGTATATAACCAAAAGAACTGAAAACTGGGACTCAAACAGATATTTGTACACCAATGATCCTAACAATATTATTCACAGTAGCCAAAAGGTAGAAACAACCCAGAAGTCCATTGACACATGAACGGACAAACAAAATGTGGCATGTATACTCAGTGGAATACTATTCAGCCTTAAAAAGGAAGGAAATTCTCACACATGCTGCAGCATGGATGAACCATGAAGACATCCTAAGTGAAATAAGCCAGACACAAAAGGACAAATATTATATGATTCCACTTAGATGAAGTACCTAAACAGTCAAATTCATAGAGATAGAAAGTAGAATGGTGGTTGCCAGGAGCTGGAGGGAGGGAGAATGGGGAATTAGTGTTTATGGAGTTTCAGTGAAGGATGATGAGAAAGTTCTAGAGATGGCTGGTGGTTATGGCTGCACACCAATGTGAATGTACTTAATGCCACTGAACTGGACACTTAAAAACAGGTAAAACGGTTAACTTTGTTATGTATATTTTAACACACACACATACTAAAAAAAAAAGAGTGAGAAAGCTCAGAGATGGAGAAAGAATAAAAAGATTCCATAAAATTAGGATTTCATTAGAGGCCATTTAAAAATGGTACATTCAGGCTTCCCTGGTGGCGCAGTGGTTGAGAGTCCGCCTGCCAATGCAGGGGACACGGGTTCGTGCCCCGGTCCGGGAAGATCCCACATGCCTTGGAGTGGCTGGGCCCGTGAGCCTGTGCGTCCGGAGCCTGTGCTCCGCGACGGGAGAGGCCACAACAGTAAGAGGCCTGCGTACCACAAAAAAAAAAAAAAGGTACGTTCAATAAAACCTTATGGGCTACGAACTCCATTCTTCTCGTCTTTATAAGATAATATACCACAGTTAAATAAATTACATGGTGTGCTGTTCAATGAGTTTTCAAGGCCAAAGGCATAGATATGTGAAAGATATATGGTTTATTTAACGCCTTAAAAAAGGGGAACTATACGGCATTAGCCGTATGATCCTTCTGTCAGAGATGAAACAGAAAACTTAAGACAATTAGACATGCTTTAGACCAGGGCTTGGTAAACTGTGCCATGGGCCAAATATAGCCTGCCATTTGTTTTTGTAAATAAAATTTTATTGGAACACATACATACTCGTTTTTTTTTTTGAAGATGGTTGCTTTTGCAGTACAGTGGTGGGGCTGACTAGTTCAGACAGAGATTGCATGGCCCATAAAGGCTAAAATGTTTACTCTCGGGCTTCCCTAGTGGTGCAGTGGTTGAGAGTCTGCCCGCCGATGCAGGGGAAACGGGTTCGTGCCCCGGTCCGGGAGGATCCCACATGCCGCGGAATGGCTGGGCCCGCGAGCCGTGGCCGCTGAGCCTGCGCTCCGCAGTGGGAGAGGCCACAACAGTGACAGGCCCACGTACCGCAAAAAAAAAAAAAAAAAAAAAAATGTTTACTCTCTGGTCAGGTACAGTAAAAGTTTGCCAACCTCTGCTCTAGGAGATGTGCAGAGAACATCAATGAGACTAAGTAACAGAGATTCCTATTGCTAAGTATTACAGTCACTTTCCCCTCTGTTTCCTATGCTGAGCAGTGACTTAATTTCAGGATGAAGTTTTAAGTTCTAACATATTTTAAAGAGTCTTCTTGAGCTGCCTTCCCACCCTCATTCTAAGCTGTTTTCCATTTAACTACATGGTCAAATTTGTGAGGCCTAGAAGAAGAGACATCTGGTAAAGATTGTTGGCTCAGCTCCTAACACTTTTATGTGAACAATTTCTTAAGATTTTAAAAGTGACACAAACACAGAAGAGTTTGTGTTCATTTCTTCATTCATTCTGCAAATATTTACTGAGCACCTACTATGTGCCAGATGCCTGTGGACCTCATCCTCACGGAGCTTACCTTGAACCCACATGTGGCTTAGAGTCGGTACCACAGCTGCACTAAGTTAACTCTCACCATTGGGCTGAAATGATCCATGCAAAGCTCTGAGTGCTGAACCTAGCACCAAGTGCTCAAGAAATGTCAGCATAAGAAATCTGAACTTAGAAAAAGAAAAAGATATATGAACTTGAGGTAAGACTCTTACCCCTATGTAGGATTCTTGTGTTTATAGGGAAATAAGCAAGAGGTATTACCCCAGCCAACTTTAAACCAGTCAGAATGAGAAGCCTAGCTTGTGAGTTCTGGTGTAGACTGGCATATCAGAGCCTCCCAGATTCTGTTCACTGCAGTAAGCTGTCTGGCAGTGTGATTCTCCATTAGTGATGTGGCTCAGGCGTCCAAGTGTAAGCCTGTTTCTCACCTAACCCTTGGCTACAGCAGTTTGCAAGAGGCTCTTCAGAAAGAACCTGAAGAGACTTGCTGCATTGGATGCAAATGGTGCAGTCGTTCACAAGGATGCCAGATCCCCTGAGGCAGGACCCTCCCAACACAGAGCCGAGCTCGCACACACTAAAAACGCATTAGTCTTCATTGAAGGCTGCTTGCATTAAACAAACATGGCAGTATATTCAAAACAAATCATTTATTCACAGTTTGGCATGTAAAACAGAGGAGAATATACTTTCAAATCAAGCTATTATTATTCTGAACTATTAGCTAGAATTTTTGTTGTCTTTATTTTAGGTTGAGTTTGAGCTTGTTGGGGTAACGTAACATTTTGGGGTTAACTCAGACTTAAACTAGAAGTCATCAAGGATCTGAATTCCCTTAGTACCAGTTTAGAGTACAGTTCAGTAAGGTTTTAACTTTGAAGTGGACTTTTTTTTTTTTTTTGGCTGCACTGTGGGGCCTGCGGGATCTTAGTTCCCCCACCAGGGATTGAACCCGGGCCCCCGGCAGTGGAAGCGTGGAGTCTTAACCACTGGACCGCCAGGGAATTCCCTGAAGTGGGACATTTTAGAGGGCAAGGGATAACACTGTAAACACTGTACTGGGAAATATTTCCAGTGTTTACCAACCAGTCTTAGGATCAAAAATGAGCATGAGTTTACTCTAGAATTATGCAAACTACCAGTGAGCTTTGGTTCACAGGTGTGTGTTGTGTGTGTGTGTGTTTAATAGGCAATTTGGAATTGGAATTCTTGGAAGAGTTTTATTCGCTGACCAACGGACACACTGCAATTTGAAGTTAATATTCAGTGGTGAGCAGTGTCTTCCAGCACTAGATGGAATTTAATCCAGTAGAAGGTTTTAGAATGTATTTATCCAAGAGGTAATTCTATCTCTGTTTGCAGTTAGAGTTCTATTCTTAATGTCCCCTTATTTATACCATAAAATGTTTGTTTACTAATAGTCACTTCTTAGGCATGACCTCATATACACAATGTGTAGATATAATAAAACATATGCCATTCTGGTTAAGAGCAAAGACTTTGGAGTTGAAGAAATAGGAGTTCAGATCATGAATGTGCCACTTACTCGCCATGTCACATGAGGCTTCATGTCTACATCTCTAAGATAGTGCTAGTAATAGCACCCATTTCAGAGTATTGGTTCCAAGATCAAATGACATTTAGTGCCACACATCAGGGGGAATAGAATCGAAGACCAGCTTCTGCAAAAAGTTTCCAAGATTTGGCCTCACGCTGAGCGGTTATCTTACTGCTCCTCTGTCAAGTTACCACCACCCATTAGAGTAAACAGCAGAGAGCACACTCCCACCACCAAGCCAGCCTCTGGCATGGGGACATTTCTGTTACCTCAGTCTGAACGTGTAAAAGAAGTCCTGCTCAAACTGGAGGCAGAGCACTTGGAATTTACCTGGGGTCCCACACAGTAAGCTGAAGACTGAAGCCTGGTCTCTCTCTTTTTTTTTTTTCTCCTATCTCAGCCGGCAACCTTGTGCTATTTGAAGGCACGATCCTTGGGAGACACAAAAATCCTCCCATTTCTCTTTTATTTAGGGAAAATTCTGGAAGGATAAAGAGGCACTAGAATAATGACATTCTGGGCCATTCCTTCTGTCGGGTCCTGGCTAATCTGAGAAGAGTTAATTGTATTGTCGCTTAAGTTGTATTGATGCCTGTACAGATTTTGTTACGGCAAGGCGCATCATTCAGTGAATGACTGATAAACAGATGAAAGCCAAGAGGCTCACTTTTCCCAGGCATTTCTATCAGCACATCCCTGAAAAGAAGGCATTTGGCTGTGGGTTCCCAAGGACGCTGGCTGTGTACCAGGAGAGGGGTAGCACCACCCACTCCAGAGAGGTGGCGTGGGGGAATTTTCTTTGGGGCTTTGGCAGCACATAAATACCCATTAAGAATCGGCTATCCGGTTCCCTTTAAATAAGCATTACACACGTATACTTTTTCTCAACAGGTTAATGGGATAATGCTGAAAACAATGAACCTGCAAAGTTGGCCACATCTGTCTACTGGATTTTCTCAAACTCTGAACAAGCAGTAGGAGGGACTTCTAGTTTCACCCCTTATCTTGGCTCTTTTGACCTACACCTTTGAGGGATCTGGCTCAGAACAGAAAGGATGACTGCCAGACAGATACCGGAGAGGAGAAGGAGAGCAGCAATGGCTTGTATCATAACAGTAGCTTGAATTTATAGTATAGTGTTTGGCAACTCATAAAATTCTTTCACATACATAATCTAATATATCCTAAAATCCCAGAACTTGAGCTGCAAAGGAACCTTGGGTATCATTTAATCCAAAGTTTCTGAACTTCATTCCCTACTGCCATTTTGGGTGTGATAATTCTTTGTTTTGGGGGGCTGTCCTGTGCACTGTAGGATGTTTCATAGCATCTCTGCCCTCTACCCTCTACATGCCCACACCGCCTCCATGCGTGACAACCAAAAATGTCTCCTGGGGGGCAGAACTGCTCCCTGTTGAGAATTACTGATCGAGTCTATCTTGGAGTTTTAAACAGATTATACACTTACACATGGGAGGTACTAATTAAATAGTAGCACCTCCACACCCAGCATGGCCTTGATGTCTTGATCTGGCTCTTCCTGTCAAGGCTGTCAAGACTGAGAACTGCGCAACATTTTTCAAAGGTCCAAGGTAGTGTTTTTTTGTTACCAAACTACTCATTTAATTTGGTGGAAAACCTATCAATTTTATTTTTCAACGCAAAGAACTACCACCATAAAGCTCTATCACACTGATTCTGTCGTCAAACCGATTTGTTATCCAGCAAACTGACAGGCCTGGGTCACACAAATACCACTTTTGCAGTCAGGCTAAGGATCTGCCAAGCTATAGAAATGCCTCATTAAATTCAGACCCCTCTGCTTCGTGGACATGTGAAAACCGCTGACAATCCGGTTTTTAAGACTTAGACCTTTCTCTGGTGTCACTGCTCGTTTCTAATTATGTAGAAAGCTTCACTGAAGATTCAGAGTTGTGGGCTTCCCTGGTGGCGCAGTGGTTGAGAGTCCACCCACCGACGCAGGGGACGCGGGTTCGTGCCCCGGTCCGGGAAGATCCCACATGCCGTGGAGCGTCTGGGCCCGTGAGCCATGGCCGCTGAGCCTGTGCTCCGCAACGGGAGAGGCCACAACAGTGAGAGTCCCGCGTACCAAAAAAAAAAAAGATTCAGAGTTGTGGGCTGCCCTGGTGGCGCAGTGGTTAAGAATCCACCTGCCAATGCAGGGGACACGGGTTCGAGCCCAGGTCCGGGAGGATCCCACGTGCCGCGGAGCAACTAAGCCCGTGTGCCACAACTACTGAGCCCACGTGCCACAACTACTGAAGCCCGCGTGCCTAGAGCCCGTGTTCTGCAGTAAGAGAAGACACTGCAATGAGGAACCTGCGCACCACAACGAAGAGCAGCCCCCGCTCGCTGCAACTAGAGAAAGCCCACGCACAGCAACGAAGACCCAACGCGGCCAAAAATAAATAAATTAAAAAAAAAAAAGATTCAGAGTTGTCTTTTTTAAAGACACACTATGAACAATCACTGTAAATGTGCTCCTGGAACACAGTCAATTTACTGATACTAAAAGCAACCTCTGTACCCCTTAGGCAGAAGGCAATGAACTGATGAAACAGATGATCAAACAATATTTGTGTATGTGTTCATTCATTCAATCAAACACTTGCTGATTGAAGTGACTGAACACTTGCTGTATGCCAGGCCATGCTAGGTGCTTGGCGATACAGTGGTGACTACTGCACAGTCCTTAGGGTTCCTAGTCTAGCAAGGGTGGACAAAGAAGGAGGGAGAGGAGGGAGAGCAGAGCAAACATCCTGAGCAAAGATGGGCAGCCACTTAAGATTATTTAACCCTAGGAGGACACATATGTTCTTTCAATTAACATTTTATTGAGTGCCGAAGGTATGACAGTGCCTTCATAAAGTATACAAGCAACAATGAACCATGGGTCAAAACAGAACCCAAGGAGTGACCCAGCTATAACAGGTGGACAAGGACTGAAAATCTGCGCATCTGGTTTAATTACATTTAGAGGCAGATGGAAATTCTGCAAGGTGAAGCTCCCCTTATCCTCCTACACTTAAAGTTACATTATCATATATCGCATTACTGCGAACATAATACCCGATGATGTCGTAGTGGAATGAATTAATTAAAATCATGAAAATCAAAATCAATTTTATTGAGCATCTTTATAAGCCAAACACTCTGCTGACTGCCGTCATTTAGCACAGTGAGATAATTTCAGGCATGTCTACCATTTCTGGAAATGTGGCTGGAGAGTGTATTTTACTTACATGCTACGAAGAGGGTGGCATAAAAGACAACAGATGACTTAAATGCAATCCTCCCTGGAGGGAAGGAGATGGGCCACAAATAATCAAAGAATTTCTGTAACGTATGGTTTAAAAACTCTTGAGTTAATGATAGCTACGATTTTTGAGCAATTATTATGTGCATAAGTCACCTTAAGGAAGTTATTTGATTTTTTGTGACATCCCTATGAGATGAAGTTGAAAATGCAGGCTCTAGAGCAGGGGATCAGCAAACTACAGCCAGAGGGCCAAATTCAACCCTGTGGCTGTTCTTATAAAGTTTTGTTGGAATGTAGCCATGCCCATTTGTTTACATATTGTTTACAGCTGCTTTCATGCTACAGTGGCAGAGTTGAACTGCTGCAGCAGAGACTAGTGTGGTCCACGAAACCTAAAATATTTACTCTCTGGCGCTTTATAGAAGAAGACCTGGTCTAGGGTCAGATTTCCTGGGTTTGAGCCCTAGTTCTTTAACTATGGAGCTGTATGACATTGGTTAAGTTACTTAAAGTCTTCGTTCCGTACCACCCTCATCTGCAAAATGAAACTGGTGGTAATAATAATCACTATCTCAGGGCGTCACTGTGAGGAATAAATTACACAATATATACCAAGTGCTTAGAACAAAACCAAGTATATACTAAGGGTTTGATGTATGTTGGCTATTATTGCCTCCTTTTTAAAGATCAGGAGCTCGAGGCTCAGAGCAATCAAATAACTTACCCAAGACCACTCAGAATTGAAATTTAGCTGATGACAAAGTCCAAGCTCTTTCTACCATGGTACTCTGCCTTTGCTATTTTCTTAGTAATAGGAGAGTTAGGGATAGCCAGTGTTAACAGAATAAAAACAATATCAAGGAGAGATGGACATTGGTTAACAGAGTTGAAGGGAAACTCAAGCACAGATCCACAGCAAAATTGTTGGAAAACCATTCCTTTCTACCAAATGCCTCACTGCACCTCCCACCCTCCCCACTCCTCTTCAGAGAGTTCTACAAACTGTTCCATAGCCTATTTCTGGCCCTTTATAAAGTAGTTAATAGGTTCAAATGATAATTTTTAGACTTAAAAAAAATCTATTGAATTAAATTCTTAAATGGAAATGTTTAGGGACTAGAATTCACATAATCCAAATGTTTTAAGTGAGAATATGGGACCACGATGTGGCAGTGGGATGGGCTTACCCAACCCAGGCTCTGGAGTCAGACTGCCTGGCTTATCCCCTGGCTCCACCGCTTGAGAAACAAGTGTCATCACACCAGTCACTTTAATCTTTGTGAGCCTGTTTCACCATCTATAAAATGGTAATAATATACCTCACACTGTTGTGAAGATTAAATGATAATGCATATACAGCACTTAGAAAAGTACTTGGCTATATTAAATGCTCAAATTGACTACGTTTTATATTTTCATATCCTATATAATTTTTAAATTATTATTATTTCAGTTGGGCAAAATAGCAGACGTTTTTCAAGGATGTTCTCTTGGGAGAGAACTATATAGCCACAGCTTAGAATCACGAATTTTCTGCTTGACAATTTAATTTTTAAAAGCTAAAGAATCTGAGGGAATTTACTCCCAGAGTTTTGTGGATACACTGGAAGGGAACTTCTATAGCTATTATGTTCTATATTTATATAGGAAAATGCTTTAAGACATTGTAAATGTGAAATGTTATAATGATGCATTTTTAAAGCTAATGATTATGCAAAAAGCAAACACTATGTTCTTTTTGATATTTGTTCAATTGTGTATTATATTCTTTTTATCACTACTTAGTATACCTACACTAATGCTTTGTGTCTACCCATTGAATGTAGCAGTAAATATTGCTTATTGACTATGATATATTCAAATTACCACTGCAAGTTTAAGAAAGTTACCTGGGAATAATCACAGAAAAACTTTATGTGCCAGCATTGGAATATATGAACTGGTAGTTTGATGAATGGTTATTTTTATTATAAAAATATTCTTTAATTTGCAAAGGGATTTATAATAGAGTTCCTTTAGATAGGAAGTCCCCTATGTCATCTAGAATATGATTCAAGTTATTACAAAATCGATCTCTCTCTCTATATATATATCTTTCCTGTATATACCTTCCCTATACTGATATATACCTACAAACTATGCCAAAGTATCAGTCCCATTTGCTTGATGGAGAAACTGGATGATCATGTGCTTAAGCTCAAGATCACAATTACACAGTGATAAAATTGGAATTATAATTTAATAAAGGAACCTTATCTTTGGGATGATAGTCTCTAGTTTAACTTCTGTTTGACAATAGAGTCCATTTATATTCAAGACAAAATCTGGGCAGTCCAAATAGAGTAGAGATCCAGATATCTATAGCTTTTTAAAAATTCTAAAATTTGTGTGTAAAGAATATTTTTCATTTGCTTAGTTTCTTGAATTTATGCCAGAACAGATTTAGAAAGTGAACTTTCCCAAACATAAGCTTACACAGTCTTTATGATGATGTGTAAATGCTCTTCCTTTCCTCCAATTTCAAACTATATTTGCAAGTTATATAGTAATAATATGGTCTATTATTACTCTGCCATATTATACATGAGTACATGCTCTATGGGATATGTTCTTATATTACCTTCTGGTGGTATGTCAAATAGTAGTCTATAAGAATATCATAGGTCTCTTTGTAAGAAAAATGACAAATTGTCTGTTCTGAAACAAAGACTCTGAAATGGAGTGACATAGTCAAACATTAGCTTCAGTTTTAGGTGTGACCTTCTGATTTTGTTTGGTTAACATTAGTCATTTCAGTTCTGACTATGAAAAAATATCTGCTACCACAGAAAAAAACCAGATCCTGTTTAATGTTGACGTCCTTGTATTTCATTGCCAAGTATCCC